GCTCCTCACCAGCTCCAAGCACCGCTGCGTGGACAGCGGCGCCGCCTTCCTGCAGGGACTGTGGCAGCACCACCACCCCGGCCTGCCGCCGCCCGACGTCGCAGGTGACCGCCCGCCGGGGTTTGCCGGTCTGCATCCTCCCCCCCGCTGCGGGACGTTCGGGGCTCGCTGGAGCCCTGGTGCAGTCCTCACGCGTTGGGCTGCTATCTGCTGCAAGGCCCGCGGTTGGAAACCCCCCGCTGCAGGAGAAAGCTTTGGGCTTTCGACTCCCAGAAAGAGTTACAGTTTGGGAAACTCACAGGGGCAGTTCGATCCCGCCCTACGGAGTCGCTATGAGTGGTCCTGGCAGTGAGACGTGGTTTGCCTTTTCCCAAATTGAATTTGCCCACTCTCCGTGCCAACTCAACCCTTCCCTCACCCACATGCCCTGGGTTTTTTTCCTCCCCTGCCAACAGATTCTATGATTGGTGCACTTTCCCACTTCCCTTTTAGTCTAGAACGCTTTTTCACGCTCTGTTTCTGACAGTAGCCAAGTTTATGCCTGCCAGCTCTGGATCCCTGGTAGCCGTAGTGGATTTCGTGCAGAGGTTAGCAGTTCGAAGCAGTTCCAGGGGAGAAAAAGCATTTAGGCTTTCTACTCCTGTAAAGAGTGCAGTCTGGGAAACCCATAGAGGCAGTTCTACTCCGTCTCGCAGGGTCACTATGATTTGGGAAGGACTCTATGGCAGTGGATGAGTTTTTTCAGATGTTCTTGTCTTTATTCGACGTCTTCTGTATTGTTATATACGAGGGGACTTCAAAAAGCTCATGGGAAAAATGGACTTGAAAGATAATGGAGTTTTTCAAGCAATTATTTCGAAGCCTTCTTACACTGTAGAGTTCTCTTTGTGATTGTGGTCCATGATCATAGGCCACGACCTACTAATTGATTCCATTAATAATGTGCAGAATTTGAAGAATCATTTATTGGAGTCCTTTTATTTTATAAGGAACGTTGGTGGTGTAGGGGGGTACTGCATTGGGCTGCTAGCGCCTTGGTTGGCACTTGGATTCCATCAGTAGCTCCTCTGGAGGAAGACGAGGCTTATTATTCCCATGAAGATTTACCACCTCGGAAGTCCAAAGGGTGGGTGCTATGCTAATTTATAGGGTCATTTATGGAAACCCCGCGATGGCAGTGTTTTGGGTTTCACAGGTGAAGAAGCCTTGGCGATTCTTCTTCACTAGTTTGAAAACCAATGTAGAATCTAGCACTCTTCCACAACAGAGATGTTTCTCCACAGAAAGTTTTAATGTACAGATGTACCTTACACCAATTTCATGAGGTAGGTAACAAGAACCCAAAACCAAAAGCTAAACTCACAGCTATCTAGTCAGTTGCTACTCATAGTGACCTTATAGAACAGGGTAAGACTGCCCCCACGGGATCCCGAGATGGTAACCCTTTTATCAGCTGACCTTGCGCTGAACAGCTCGGTGCAGAACCACTCCGTCACCAAGGCTCCTAGATAGTAAACCCAAACCAAACCAAACTCACTGCCATCAAGTCCGTTCTGCCCCAGCGACTTCATAGGACTCTATAGAACTGCCCCTGTCAGTTTGTGACACTAACTCTACTGGAGTAGAAAGCCTCATCTTTCTCCCCAAGAGTGGCTGGCAGTTTTGAATTGCTGACTTTAAGGGTAGTAGTAGTCCAATGTGTAACCACACCACCAGGGCCCCTTTGATAGTATGGGGACTATACTGGGACTATAATGGGAAAGTTCCATTATCTTTTAATTGTGTCACATTTTTCTAAGGCCCCTTGTATTTGCCCCTCCCCCCTATAAATGAACAAATTGAGACCCGGAAACACTAAATACTTTGCTCAGTTTCATATGCAACTCAGGACTCCGGCAGTCGGTTTCAGTGTTCTCTTAACCATGACTCTGTACCATAGGTTCTCAAACTTCGTTGCCTTACCAACCCTTTTCAGGTAAAACATTTTCTTGAGAATTCATTTTAAGGTTAGAGTTGATATGAGGAATACCACATGATGTCAAAGCCCAAGTGAAAACCAGGTAAATTGGTAGCATCCCCTCTGAAGCACGTTAGCCGTCTTCCGAGCTGTCCCTCCATCAACTGTCATATCTGACAGTTCTGTGGATAACGCAATTGGCTGAATTCTCGACATCACTTGTTGAAGTGTGCTTTTTAATGATAGTTAGACTTTTCCATTAACATGGAGAAAATTCCCCATACCCTTCCGAAAACACAAACCTGTTACTGACATTGAATCCCACTTGGAGTTGGTCCCATGTGTAGAAGTGGACGCTAGGATTTTGATTGGCTGTAATCTATGGAGATGAGCCCTAGTGGCCAGTAGTTAAAGCACTAGGCTGCTAACTAAGGTTGGTGGTTTTGAACTCACCCGGTAGCACCTTGGGAGAAAGATGTGGCATTCCGCTTTCTTTATTAGTCTTGGGAACCTTGCAGGGCAGGTCTGCTCCATCGGCAAGAGTTGGAATTGACTTGAAGGTAGTGGGTTTTAATCTGATGGAAGTAGACTTCCAGGCCTTTCAAGCAGACCTTTCTTCCCCAGCAGTTAGTAAGTAACAGCAAACTGCCATCCAAGGTCCTTAAAAATTCTCCACAGAGCAATAAAATTAAGTGAGTTTTGAAAGCCAGACACATTTTGACATAGCATAGTACTCAGTGCAAACCACAAAGGGACCTACTGGGATGAAAACATTTCTGTCTTTAGGTGACATTATCAGAATTGGCATGTGCTTGGAAATACAAAGCCAGGGATCAGAGTAGGTCAGGGTAAGTCCACCACTCACTGTTTTTCAGTCTGAGTTAAAACGCTCTGCCTAGCTACTTCATTATCCTCGTAGGACAATAGGTTTGTCTATTGTGTATATCTGGGCTTTTGAGGAAGGGCACTGAATTAGAATTTGTATTCTTGTAGAAACAAGACAGTGCCTTAGTTTAAAGAATGATGGTAGTTAGATTACAACAAGGATGCAACATACAGATCCACATGAAGAGTCATATTTTGAGGCCACTTATTTTCGTAGTTGAGATATTTTCTTAGGAACGCTAATCCATTTAACATTCACATCGGGACTGAATTATTCATTTGTGGGGCCACTGAATATACACATGTGAAAGCTAAATGTTATAACAGCATTAAATTTTCTCATTTATATATATATATATATATTGTGATGACATTGGTGTTATTTTTATGATAAATTATTGGAGAAATGATTGATATATGTGTTTTGATTATGACCCAGGAAAATCTTAAAAGGCACCCCAGTAGTTGATTATCCAATGCTTTACAGTATAAGCCCATATGTTTTTTGTTGTCAACTGGGGAAATAATGTACCTTATTAAATTCTAATTGCAAAGCTGGGAGCTCCAATTAGAAGATACACCAAACCAGAAGCAGCAAACACAATGGAATGCGATAGACTTACAACATGTAACATATTTAGTGCTGTTGTTGGTAGTTTTACCTGGAGCAAATTGCTTTGTAAAGTAATAGAGTTGAGAAAGTTAATTGAGAAAACAAATAGTCTATTTAGACTTGGGTGTAGAGTAGAAAAACATTTAATATATGGAACTATCTCTCACCTTAAAATTTTAGTTTAGTGCTTGCTTTCTCAAATATTTTGCACTCAATAGAAACAAAATGTAAATAATATACTTGTTTTTTTCGTTTTCACTTTTTTATGACTTTGTAATCACTTTTGGTTTCTTTAGAGAAAAGTCATTGTAGTTATCTTTATTTTGTCACATAGTATTGCAGTAACACATTTTATCTCTTGAATCTTTTCCAGCATATTCTCTCATGAATCACAATGATTACAAATGGAGGATCATTTGTTTTGCCCTCCATTTTTATTGATCAATATGTGCTTATTTTCATCAACCCTAAATTGCCACTCATTCCTCTCTTTTCTGTTTCTTTTCTCCTTTCAGATATGGAGTGTGGACCTCCAAGAATTAATGATAAACTAATGAGATTCTTTGATCATTGCAAGAAGTTTTTGACTGATGTGGAAAAGAATGCCACGGCTCTTTTCCACGTAGAAGCCTTCAAAACTGGGCCAGAGATGCAAGACATTATTAAAAAAGTTGCAGCTACTTTAGAAGTACCAGTAAATGATCTAAATGCAGGTAATGAGCCTAGATTCTTCCATTAGAGCTTCTGGTTTAAGTTTTTGAACTCTGAAAATGAAAAAATAAGGAAACAAAGTTGTTCTTTTTAAAGACCCACAGTAGAATTTACCTTAAGGAAATAGCGTATTCTAGGTCAAGAAAGACTAACTCTTTATGGGAGTAGGAAGCGTTGTCCTTCTGAGCAACCAGTGGTTTTTAAGTGATGACCTTACAGTCAGCAGCCCAACAAGAAACCCACAGGGGCAGTGCTGCCCCGTTCTGTAAGATTGCTTTGAGTCAGAATTGACTACTCAGTGAGTTTGTTAGAGTTTAGGTAAATAAAAAGACCCTCAATGGAAGCAGTTCAGAAGTGTATGTCATGGAGCCTGGATGTTTTATAAAAATTTAAAAATGTAAAGATAGCTTAAAGATTGGCATTTGAAATAGAATTTTTTTCCTTTTTCAAACTGGCTGTATATTTGAGTCACAGGCAGTGCTTTAAATTTTGGGAAACAATTTAAGCATTTAAATATGAACAAAGGCTGATATAATAAATATAATACAATAACAAGGCTAATATAATAAATACCATATACTCACAATTTTTAAAAAATTATTTTATTGGGGGCTCGTACAACTCTTATTGCAATCCATCCATCCATCCATTGTGTCCAGCACATTTGTACATTTGCTGCCATCATTATTCTCAAAACATTTGCTTTCTACTTGAGCCCTTGGTATCAGCTCCTCCTTTTTTCCCCTCCCCACCCCCACCTTCCCTCCCTCATGAACCCTTGATAATTTAGACATTATTATTTTTTCATATCTTACACTGTCCAGTGTCTCCCTTCACCAACTTTTCTGTTGTCCATCCCCCAGGGAGGGGGTTATGTGTAGATCTTTGTGATCAGATCCCCCTTCTTCCCCCACCTTCCCTTACCCTTCTGGTATCGCTACTCTCCTTATTGGTCCCGAGGGGTTTATCTGTCCTGGATTCCCTGTGTTTCCAGTTCTTATCTGTACCAGTGTATATCCTCTGGTCTAGCCAGATTTGTAAGGCAGAATTGGGATCATGATAGTGGGAGGGGAGAAGCATTAAAGAACTAGAGGAAAGTTATATGTTACATTGAGGCTATACTGCAGCCTGACTGGTTCGTCTCCTCCCCGTGACCCATCTGTAAGGGGATGTCCAGTTGCCTACAAATGGGCTTTGGGTCCCCACCCTGTACTCCCCCTCATTCACAATGATGATTTTTTGTTTTTGATGCCTGATACCTGAACCTATTGACACTTCATGATCACACAGGCTGGTGTGTTTCTTCCATGTGGGCTTTGTTGCTTCTCAGCTAGATGGCCGCTTGTTTATTTTCAAGCCTTTAAGACCCCAGATGCTATATCTTTTGATAGCCGGACACCATCAGCTTTCTTCACCACATCTGCTTATTCACCCGCTTTATCTTCAGCAGTTGTGTTGGAAAGGTGAGCATCATAGAATGCCAATTTAATAGAAGAAAATATTCTTGCATTGAGGGAGTTCTTGAGTGGAGGCCCAATGTCCTTCTGCTACCTTAATACTAAACCTATAAATATATGCACATAGATCTATTTCCCCATCTTCATATATGAATATATTTGCATATGTACATGCCTTTATCCAGACCCCTATAAATGCCCTGTGCCTCCCAGCTCTTTTCTCTATTTCATTTGACTTTCCTCCTGGCCCACTATCATGCTCAGTCCTCACCTGGGCAAAGATTATTTTTGTGTAGTCCAAATACCCATTCCCTTATCCTTGTTTCTCAAAACCCTATGTATCTGAAAGTAATGAACTAATTGTTGTTCTTGTCGTGTGCTGTTGAGTCATTTCCAACTCATTGTGACCTCGTGTACCAAGAAAGATACACTACCCAACCCTGCACCACCCTGACAAGTGTTGCTTATGTTTGAGCCCATTGGACACAACATCCACTATGTCAGTCCATCTAGCTGAGGGTCTGCCTTTTGGTCACTGACTCTCCACTTTATTAAGCATAGTGTCTTTTCTAGGGACAAAAATCTCAAGCAGCTTATTCTGAAGTCCCACTGCCCCTTTGAGCAGCTAATTTTCTTTCTTTTTCTCTCTCTTTTTTAAGATCATTTTATTGGGAGCTCTTACAACTCTTGTTAGAATCTATACATCAATTATACCAACTTATTAGTACATATATTCCATCATTCTTTTCTAGACATTTACTTTCCATTGAGCCCTTGGGATCAACTCCCCCCCCTCTCCCCTCCCCCCCTTCAACCCTCATGGCCCCTTGATAGATTATAGATTGTTCATTATTTTCAAATCTCACACCAACTGCTGTCTCCTTTCTGTTCTTCCCCCTGGATGGGGTGTGTGGTTATGTGCCATTCATTGTGATCGGTGCCCCCTCCTCCCCACCATGTTCCCCCTCCCTCCCCACCTCTTTCCCCCTCCCTCCTCCCCTTTTGGTGTCGCTATTCCCATTCCTGTTCCTGGGTTCCATGTGTCCTGGGTTCCATGTGTCCTGGGTTCCATGTGTCCTGGGTTCCATGTGTCCTGGGTTTTTTCTCTTGCCTTTACCTATGTACATGCTCCTGTCTAGTCCAGAGCGGGAAGCAGCACTGAGGTCATGATAGTGGGGGGTGAGGAGGCCTCAAGGGATTAGAGGTGTATTGCGTGATCCATTGGTGCTCTACTGCACCCTGATTAACTCATCCCTTCCCTGTGACCCCTCTGTGGGGGATGTGCCATTGACCACGGATGGGCTTTGGGTCTCCACTCCAAACTCACCCCCCCATTCTCACCAGTGCATTTTTTGTTTGTTTATTGTTTGTTGTGGATCTTCTGATGTCCGTTGCCCAGTCTCGATGACACCTCACGATTGCACTGGCTGGTGCACTTCTTCCACATGGGCTTGTTGCTTCACTGTTGGATGGCCGCTTGTTTAACTTCCAGCCTTTAAGGCCCCAGTTACTGTATCTTTTAATAGCCGGGCACCATCCTCGGTCTTCACCACATCTGCTTATGCGCCCATTTTATCTTCAGTGATCAATGGTGCAGGGGAAGAGGAGAGTGGGCATCACAGAATGCCAGTATGTTAGAACAAAGTGTTCTTGTATTGAGGGAAGGTGTGAACCGAGATCCAAGGCCCATCTGCAGCTTCAGTGTATTGCCTTATAAATATATGTACATAGACGTAGACGAATACCTCTATTTTTATGGATTAATGTATTCACATAAGTGCACACCTCTGTTAATCTCCTTATCCATGCCTTCCTGGAGCTTACCTCTGTTTCCTCTTGCCTCCTCCTGCCCCGCCATCCCTTTCCCCTTCTTCCACCGCTTAGTGCTTCCTCTCCGCCAGCTTGGTGTTGCTCTAGTACTCACAGGACCTCTACCCTCTCCTAGATGCTGGTTCCACTTCCCTAGTCGTTGCCCTGCCCAAGACGCCGTCCATTCACCACACCCTTCCCCACCTCCTTCTTTCGCAGACCATCCGGGGCCATTGGCTCCATTGCCTTTTCCCAGAGCCTCCCTCCCATGTCCGTCCCATATAAGTGAGCAAACCAGCAATGTCCAATTCCGAACAATAAGAAAACATACGGTTGAGAAAAAGAAAAGGAGAGAGGAAAAAAGAAAGAAAAAAACCTACATAGGATGAGCAGCTAAATTTTGTGTGTTTTTTTATCACTTTATTAGGGGCTCATACAACTCTTATCAGATTCCATACATACATCAATTGTGTAAAGCACATTTGGACATTCATGAGCAGCTAAATTTTAAGAAGCTGATGTTACCCTTCTTTCCTCACCTTCCTGGTGGCCACTCACGTGCTCTCCCTTCTTCTCTTTCTCTCCCTCGCAGTCACTTCTCTCACCTTCTGCATCCTCTCTATTTACTTCTTAACTTACAGGATAATATGCTATATCATAGTAAATATAGTTTGTGATTTAAAAACTTTAAGGCGGGGACTAAACTTTTTATAACTTTATCTATTTACCTCCGAACAAACAAAGATCAAACATATTCTACATAGATAAGTCTTTGGAGCAAACTCTGGTCAGTTTCATAGGCAAACGTATTCTTAACAAATCTGCTGTTAAGAAAGTTGATGATTTATACAACGAGAAGCTTTCTTCTTTTCGGTAGACTCAAATCCTCCTAATTGTTCTTCCTGACAGTTCTGGCTCTACCCTTTGGGGACTGTATAGAGCAAATCTTAATTCTTTGATAGCCAATCAGAAACAGAAGTCTCCAAACTAAATGTATCCAGTTTCTTCACCTGTGCTGTACAACTCATTCTATAGGTATGTGTAGCCTTTGAAAGACTGCAGAAAATAGGAGACTGAATACATTAACCATTTTTTACTTTGTTTTCAGATTTAATTCAAGTAGCCTTTTTCACCTGTTCATTTGATCTGGCAATTAAAGGCGTTAAATCTCCTTGGTGTGATGTTTTTGATATAAATGACGCAAAGGTAGGTGTTTTGCCTTCTCCTGCCTTTTTTCGGTGGGACTGGAGGGCATAGTTTTCCTTTTTCTTCTGAACTTTGAGGCAGCTTTTCAGAAAGCAAGCAAAATGAGAAACGCTGAACTGTTTTTGTGACTAACTGGAATTTCCTTTGAATAAAGGAGGATGAGTTTCTCAGTTAGGTCCCATCTCACTTGTAAATTGAGTGCATAATACTGAGAGCTAGTGTATATTTGAAAGAAAATTAGTGGTTTATATTATTTCATAAAGACAAAGGTGACAAGCAACCAGATCAGAGCTGATGACATGATGTTTGATGATACTATGCAAAGTTAGGGTTTGGAGTCAGAGGTGAGCTGGAGCAAAAGGCCCGAGGCCCGTAGTGGGTTAGCACCTTAGGATGCTGAGCACAGGTAGTAGTCAAACAACAAAAGCAACAAAAAACCTCAGAGTGACCCTATAGAGAATAAAAGTGCTCTTGTGGGTTTCTAAGGCGATAAATCTTTATGGAAGCAGAAAGTCTCCTCATTGTCTCATATGGCGGCTGGTAGGTTCCAACGACTGACTGTCTGGTTAGAAGCCTAACATGCAACCCACTGGGCCAGCTGGGGTCCTTCCTAGTAGTAAGTAGGTGTATTGTTTCCCTTCTCTGTACTCCTGAATCACTTCCTGATGACTCACCTTTTCCCTTTGTCCTGAGTACCTAGTACTCTCTTCATCTCCTATAATTACCCATGTCCTTCCATGTCAGCTTGGAGTCCTTATGGTGTAGTGGTTAAGTGTTGGGGTGTCGATCTGCATGATCGGTAGTTCAAAGCCACCAGCAGCTCCTCAGGAGAAAGACTGTGTACCCTCGTACACAGTTACAGTCTGGTAAACCGACAGAGGGTTGCTATGAGTCAGCATTGACTCAGTGGCAGTGAGTTAATGAACACCACTTCAGAAGCCCTGTGTGTAGGATGATGATATTATTATCTTCCAAGTTGGGATAGTGAAAGGAGCACTATTAATTTGCCTAGACAGGTATAAATGAGACTTATAGTCACCATACACATATATCAGAATTACCTAACTTTTCTTTCTTCCCTAACCAACTTTCTTTCCTACAAAAAAAGGTCCAATAAGTATAATTGAAGTGATTTTCACAGTGGTGTAAATGATTAGTGTGTATTTTAATAAAGGAACTTATTATCTGCCCAGGTTATTTTAGTTGGTGTAAAGGGGTGTGAGATAATTTACTGGCTACCTGCCATCTGCTCCCTTTCTATTATGAAGGTTGGTATTCTCTGGTTTAAGTGCAGAATTCTTTTCCTTCAATGAAAATGCACATCTCTGGTCATAACCAGCCTGTGTTTATTCAATCTCTGTCTCCTACTTATACTTCCTTCCCTTTTCCTTGTTTGAAGCCCTCTCCTTTCAGACATTCTTGCATTTTGTGCCTTTTAGCTTTTTCAGTGGGGAGGTAGTTTAATATATTGCAGAATCCAGGAAGTCAAGACCTGGGTTCAAGAAATATGTAGTGTTTCTATGCCTTGGTTTCTACCCACCCCTGCCCCCTCCCCACCTTCCTTTTCTTTTTGTTTTACTCTTTTTATCTCTATTGTTAATGTTTCCCCTCTCTTCTCACCTCAACTTATTTTGAAAATTTCAAACTGGCAGATTTAGATTGCTTGGAACTTGAAATATCTCCTAGTTTGGTGATAGTTCTGAGAATTTAGAATAGAGCTCTCATTACCAGATTGAAGGAAAGAAACCTCACAAAAATCTCTGGAGCCCACTGATCCGCTCAGATAACGGCCCTTTTAATTCCAATCCCCAAAGCCTTTGCAAACTCTGGAAGAGCTTTGACTCTTCCTATTGGAAGACTGTTGTGCTCTGCTTGGGCCTTTAGGTAGGAAGCTGGGCAGTTATATAGATTTCACTGTTTCCTTTCAGGGAGCATAAGAATCTGTGTGTTGTGGGTTAGGCATTGGGCTACGAACTATAAAGTCTGTGATTCAAACCCACCAGCTACTCTGAGGGAGAAAGGGGAGAGTATATCTGTTCCCTTAAAGATTTGTGGACTTAGAGACCCAATGTAGGATCCCTCGGAGTCAGAGTAGACCTGAGGGCAGTGGATTTTGTTTTCCGGTTTCTGGGTGACCATAGTTCACTGCTTACAGTGCAGTGCTGAAGACATTTATACAGTTTGCCTAACTGTTTATGGCAGAAGGGCATGATAGAATCCATTCCTCCGTCATGGCAGATGATACATACTTTTATTGAACTGCTAAATTTTATTATGTAATGTTTTATTTCAGAATTATTAAATCGTGTAAACTGTGATTGGGTTATCTCAGTGGTGCCCATTTGTGGAAGGTGTACTGCTGACCCTCACCTTATTCCTCTCTAGGGGGGTTAGAAATGTAAGGGGTTATTTTTCTTTGTGACCGTGACTGGTCCCAGATGTATTTAGTGGTGGAAGGCAAGGGCTTTTAACTGTCTTGCAAGGCACTGGTGTGTCGTTTTCTCGCCTCATCTCTTTCTTCTGTGTTTCCTTTGACCAGCTCTCATATGGGGATTCTGTACATCTCTTCAAATAAATTAAGATGCTGTCCTTTATTTTCTGTGCCCTGGGACTGTTTAAATATGTATGCAGAAGTAACTTTTCTTTGAAAGTTTAGAAGAATCATTTTTAAAGCCAGTTCTCTAAGTTGGGCCTACAACAGTGGATAATTCACATGTTCAAGTTTTTCTGAGTTAATTTGCCTAGCTTACTTTACTAGAAAAAAACCATCCATTTCATTTATATTTTAAAGTTTATCTATATATAATTGTAATACTATGTACATGTGCTTTTTATAAATATCTGTTTTCCAATTTATGATATTCTCTGATTTCTTTGGCAGACTCTTATCTAATATTTTCTTAAATTCTTTTTCTAAAAGAAAGAAAGAAAACCCTAAATGTGTATATTGTTCCTTTTGCCAACTTGATGATTTAATAGCCTCTTTATTACAGTTTCAGTTTTGTTTTTAATATGCTTAGTTTCACTGCTGCTCTTGACCTTAGTTTCTCTAGGGACTCCTTGAAATAGACGCAACAATGATTACATAGTCTTTTCCTTTCCTCTTTTGAGTTGCGGATTTTAGTTCTCTGGTTTAATGTCTTTCTGATCAAACGATAACAAATACTCAAAGCTCAGCATTCATATGGTGGCTGCCTTAGTTACCAGCTGTAGCGACAGACCTTTCTGCTGAGGTTGCCCACTGCTCTCAGTGTGCTGTCTACCTTGCAGTCTGTTCACTTTGCTTTTACTTTGTAGATGTATGTGTTTGGGTAATAAACGGCATCATACTGTAGTTGCCATTCTTCCCCTGCATTTTTCATTTAGCAGTGTGCCAGAGATCTTTCCACGTCAGTACGTTTGTCTACAGTATGAAACTTTTAAATAATTACGTAACTTTGGGTTGTACAAGCTGGTAACAACACACTCTGTTGCTAACTACAGGGTTAGAACTTTCAGTCTAACCAGAGGGGCCTCAAAAGAAAGACGGGGTGACCTATTTCTGCAAAATAAGCCCCTGGAACTGCTTTGGAGCACGGTTCTTCTCTGACATACATGGAGTTGCCATGGGAATCAACTTGACATCAACTGGTTTATAGTCCAAGTCCTTCATTATATATACATACCATCGTCCTTTGAAGCCATTTGCCTTATGATACCCACAGCCATCAGCTCGATTTTATTAAATCTCCAGTTAGAAATCTCCATGGCAGTGGGTTTGGTTCTTTTTGGGCCTGTTAAATTCCAACAGGATGTTTTTTCCTTCTTCTGTGTTGGTTGCTATAAGGAAGGAGTGCTAATGAGCCCTGGGCGCCCACTGGTTAAACATTCAGCTGCTAACCAAAAAGCTGTAGTTTGAGTAAACTACCACGGGAGAAATGTGTGGCAGTCTACTTTAAAGAATTACAACCTTGGAAACCCTGTGAGCCAGTTCTCTGGCCTGCAGAGGCCCTATTGGTGGGGCTTAGCCTAAAAGCAATGGATTGAGCGTGCTAGTGCAAGGCGTTCTTGGGCATTCTTCCTTTATGTGATAAGGACCTTAATGGGCCATAGAGTATACCCACCTATTTATTTCCATGAATTTTCCCAAGTTTCGCTCTACAATGCCCACACCGAGATAACATTCCTTCCAGTAGTATATAATTTCCCATAGTCTTAGTGTAATTTATTTTTGTCAAACTGATGTCAAAGTAACTTATTTTCTATTTAGTTTCTACCTAAAATTCTTAAAAATTCCTGATCCTGGGGTGGATCAGGAATTGCTGACATCTTAACAGAATTTTAGGAGCAAGGTAAGGGGTGATTATAAATCCTTAATACCCGATCTGAACTGCCAGGGATGCTGGATTACCGGCTAAGTATTTGCACATCAGCTTCTACATCCCATGATTCAGATTTGTGGCTCAACATAAATCCTTAACATGTCAGGGATGTAGTATTAACTCTTTAAGAGCTTGAAATGGCAAATGTATACTATCTGTGAAGGCTGAGATGAGACTACTTTGGCAGAGTGATAATTAAATAGTCACAACACTTTCCTGGAGAATTTTCAAATCAGGGAATCTGTGACATTAATCAAAATGTATTACAATGATTTTCTAAATTCTCATTTTCAGGTATTAGAGTATTTAAATGATCTGAAACAATACTGGAAAAGAGGATATGGTTATGCTATTAATAGTCGATCCAGCTGCATCCTGTTTGAGTATATCTTTCAGCATTTGGATAAAGCAATTCAACAGAAACAAAGGTAAACATTTAGAAAAAGGTTGCAGTATATATTGACTGTCTAAACTTTTTAAAAAGTGTAATGGCCAGAGCTTTTTTAATAGTGTTTGATTGTGTTTCTTTTATATAATATTTGACACCAAGAAAATATATAACATGTATGTAAATGATAACACATATACACACTGTCCACTCAGGTAAGAAGGAGAGCATTACTAAGAACTTGTGTACAGTTATCTAGTCATGTGTTTGTGACAAATGGAGGCTAGCGGCCTAGGAGCTGCTCTCACTTCCCAGGGGGAGAGAATCACTGTCAGTCTTGGCCTAAGGCTTCCTGCTGTGAGGTGGAGGTCGGGCACAGCCTGTCTCTTCAGACTTTTCATGAATTCTGACACCAGCCGTTTCTCTGATGGCACTCTCCTCTGCTGGGCTCCATCGTGTGTTGCCAGGGCCACACCCAACTCACAGACCATCCTCACAAGTAGGGGATGTACTGGGGAAGCAACAGTTAAAACTAGGTTGCAATTCAAGATCAGAAACAACTCAAGATACAGTTCTTTAATTGGAGCAGCCTCTTTTCATTCTGGCCTATAGGCAGGCCTCTCTCTGGCTCTCATTCCCTTGAGCCCTCTACCCCTCATGCCTTTTAAGCCAGCCTGACCTCTATCTGCTCAAGCAAGTGCAAGGGTTATAAAGCTCTAATAAGTGTCTGTTGGCACCCTACTCTGTCAGAAAGCCTCAGTGCAAGGTACTCATCTTTCTCACTCCATGGGTCTGGGCCAGTGAGCCTGGCTCTGCCAAGTCCCAGGACGCACTCTGTTCAACAGCAAACCTGCTGCCTGAAGAAACTCCGGTCACTTGCTCTCTGGGCCAGGAAGCCCATTACACTGTCTCCTGCCAGTTTCCTGGTTCTCCTGCTATTTCTTTGATGCTGCTTCTCACCGTCGATTGCTGTGTCTGATGTTATAGCTCTCCAGCTCCTGGGTCTAGGACGTTCTCAGAGTAGGGACCCTGGGTCCAAAGGGTGCACTTCACTCCCATATCTTCTTCTCGGTAGTAGTCAGGTCCCCCTTCCTGCCTTTGGGATGGCTCTTTTTAAGTGGGATGGCAAAACTGACCAATCTCCTCATTAGGGCTCTGTGTACCTTTTTGCCTGGCCCCACCCCCACAATGGTGTCAATTTAATTTGTCAGCAACTTTCCAATATTTGCATAGCCCCGCCCTCCTTAGCATTTGATGAGGGGTACAAGATCACGGCTTCAGAGGCCATAGAAAAGTAATCATCATCACTGCATTGTTCTTCATCTGCTCCATTTACCTCCCTCTCCTGCCCGCTCCATACTGCCTATCTCGAGTAATTACTGTTTGAAATTTGGGGTTGATCATACATTGGCTCTTTAAAAATAGTTTTTATCATGAAGGTACATGGACCTAGATAAAACAGTTTGTATTTAGAATCATTTGCTTGCTGCCTTTTAAAACTTGTTTTTTACCCTCAATATCATGCTTATAATATTTATTATTACAGTTTTTGTCCATTTATTTTTACTACAATATTGAGTAATGTGAATATACTCCAGTTTATATCATCTCCTGCTGATAGGAGCCCTGGTGGCTTAGTTAGTTATAGGTTGGGCTGCAATCCACAAGATCAGAAGTTCAAAACCACCAATTGCTCCGTGGGAGAAAAATGGGACTTTCTACTCCCGTAAAGAGTTACAGTCTCGGAAACTGTAACTCGGAAACGGGCAATTCTACCCAATCCTATAGGGTCACTATGAGTTCAGCATCCGCTCAATGGCAGTGAGTGAGTTACTTCTAATAGTAGCTCTTGGTGGCACTGTTGGGTAAGTGTTGGACTTCTAACATTTAGTGAGCAGTTCAAACCTACCAGCCATGCTGCCAGAGAAAGATGAGGCTGTCTGCTCCTGTAAAACCTTATGAAGCCGAGGAAACCTTCCCTAGGATTGCTGTGAGTAGGAATTGACTATATGGCCGCAATTTGGGGTTTGATTTGATTTCTGTCAATGGAGTTCCTGGGTATTGTAAACACGCTAACTGTAAGTTGGAGATCCCCTGAGGTGCTGTGGAAGAAAGGCCTGGTGATCTTTCAAAAGATTAGCCACTGACACCTCTATGGAGCACAGTTCCGCCTTGGCCCAGATGGAATAATCATGAGTTGGAATTCATAACATGGGAGCTGGTATGTGTGTGTGTGCATTGTTTTTTAATTCTTGTCAGTGGACATTTGGATACCTTCTGTTTTTTGCTATTATAAATAGTATAATTATGAACTTCTTTATACATAGTTTTTGGTAGGAATGTGTAAATTTTAAAAATTTTAAAGGAATATTTCCCATAAAAATCTGTTGTTACTTCTCAACCTCGCTGCTTTTAAACTTTTCATAGCTTAAACCTTTGCAAGAACCACAGTCCCCATTTTTAATTTGACAAATATGCTTAGCATGCGACATTATATATGTATACTTGGAAACAAACCATGCTATAAAGATTTGGGCAGAAAGGTTAGAGTTAATGCATTATACTGTGTTTCTAGTGCTGAGTTATATATAGAGAAAATACTTGATTTATGGATATGACTTAAGTTTATGAAATTGTGTTGGTTTGATAGAAGTTAGGGCAGAGAAACCAAACTGAGCATTTTTAATATGTTACTAAAAAGTTTGTGTGGTTTTCATACAAGTCAAGTGTCTTCATGGAGGCAGGGGTTAACTTTTTTCCTGCTTAGTTTTAGAAGTGGTTTACAGCCATTCGACTCTATCAAGTAACACATCATTGCTATTAGTTCATTGTTAATCTTACTGCTGGATAGGAGGCATAGTAAACATAAAATTGTATCAGAAAATTCCTAAATAACATTTGCAGGGTTTGCTATTATAATATGATCCTACATGAAAAGCTTAAGGGGTTTATCACTGATGTATTAAAAATAAGTGAGCATTCTATACACTGAAAATGACAAAACGTTGCAAAGAGAAATTCATGGTGACCCATGGTAAATGGAGAGATATACCACTTTATAAATTGGAAGACCAAAATTGATCTATAGATTTAACCCTATCACAATTCTAGATTTCTTTGTAGAAATTGACAAGCTAATTCTAAAATGTATGGACATGTATAGGACCTAGAATCGCTAAAATTAGAAGAATGAAAAAGTACTGTCTGACTTCAAAACTCACCATAAAGTGATAGCAATAGACAAACATGTAGTGAGTTCAGAAATGAACGCACATGCTTAAAGCCAATTGCTACTTGAGGAAGATGCCATGGTAACTCACTGGGAAAGGAATAGACTTTGCGGCACATAAGGGGTGAGATCAATTGTTTGTCCATGTGGGGGGAGGAGAGAAGACTCCTACACCTTTTCCTCATATTGTATCTAAAAATGGGTCACATACTTAAACATAAAATTTCTAGAATATAGAATGAATGACTAAATATCAGAGCTAAACTATAAAACCATTTGAAAACAAGGTTAAATTATTACAACCTTGAATTAGGCAAACATTTATGAGGACACAAAAGCAGTCCGTTTGAAAAAATGAACGTAGTAGAAATCATCACAATTAAACACTTAAGCTTCAGAGGATACTATTATTAATAAAATAAAAAAGACAAAACCTATGTGATTAAGGACTTGAAAGAACCCACCGGATGTACAGAACTTTGTCATTGCTCAATGGCTTTACAGGGGCTCTACATTGTATCAAGGAGGGTCTGTGTCTTTTTGACCCTTTCCTTTACTAAGCATGATGCCCTTCCTGATAACTTGTCCATAGTACACGAGATGAAGTCTCACCGTCCTTGTTTCTAAAGAGCAGTCTGGCTTTTCTTCTTCTAAGACAGAGTTGTTTGTTCTTCTTGGCAGTCTCTGGTATATTCTGTATTCTTTACCACCATCATAATTCAGATGTGTCAATTCTGAAAACCATAAAGAAGCTGCAGATTAGGCGGGTGTTTTACAAAACTATGCGTGCCCAGTTCAAAATAACTATTCTTTCTCCGCTGCCTGCCAGTACTAGGATCAATTCCCAATGTGACCACCAACCAAGGGCATAACCACTGTGTCCCCAGGGCTTCTTGAACTACTGGACTCCAGAACCATTATGCTAATTGAAATAAGCCAAACATATATGAATATATCTTCTATGATTTTGTTTATTTGAAGTTTCCTCCAGGCAAAGCTACAGAGGCAACAGAACAGTGCTTGGATGGGCCCAGATGTGAGGGCAGTGATTGGCTGCAAACAGCTGGACGGGCACTGTTGAGGGTGATGGAAGTGTTCCAAAACTAGACTGATGACACTGTACACAGCTTTATATACTTACCCAGACTTATCAAACTCTACACGTAGCTAGGTGGGTTTTACATGAGGTGAATAATAGTTTTAAAACATTCTTTTCTAAAAGGGGAAAAATGAAAAATTTTTTGTAAAAGAGGGAAAAGTTTTATACAGAATCTGTGAATTCAAAATAAAATCTTTCCTTAAGAGATTTTGGAAGATGACCTCGAAATGAATATAACATTTAAGTTTTGAAAATGTTTAAAAATTATTAGTTCACATCCTTAGTAGAATAGGGAGTTTCAAAAAGTTCAAAGATGATTCTATTTTTCCCACAAACTTTTTGAAGCCTCTTTGTATAGTAACGTAAGTGAATTTTCAAAAAATGAAGACCTTGTAGCATCATATGACCACTTTGTAAAGCCACTTGATTGAGAAATGGTTCATATTTCATACAGTTTGCCAATTTAAAGTGTGAAGATCACAAGCTTTTAGTGCACTCACGGGATCTGGCAGTCATTCACTCGCTCCCTGCCATCCAGTCAGTGCCTCCTCATAGCAGCCCTGTAGGACAGGGTGGGGCTGCCCTGGTGGGTTTTGGGGACTGTCATTTGATGGGAGTTTCCAGAGAGCCCGTCTTGCTCCCATGGAGAGGCAGGTGGTTTCTAACTGCTGACCTGGTGCTTAGCGGCCCGGCGTGTAGCAACTATGTACCA